ACACGAGCAATTGCTAAGGAAACAGTAGAAAAGTTGCACAGTTTCCCCGATAGAACTCCACTTGCGCTAGCTCAAAAGACCTTTTCCTTGCTCGGGCTTTGACTTCATAACCCACTTCAACGCCCGACGGCAGTTAATCATAGAAAAGCTGAGAAGTTTCTTGGGATCTGGAGAATCTGGTAGGAAAATGTACGAGTTCAGGAAGATGGTAGGTAGGATAAGGGTTTGGCTTCGAAAAAGTTGAAGTTTTGAAAGGGGATGACATCGCTCTTCCGTCCATTACGCTGTTTCCTGCTCTTGAGGCCCAGAAACCTGCTTCGCCTTTTTCCAAAAATATACGAGGTCTTGCTCCCTCGTGAAACCATAGTCCCTTCGTACTCGTGGAGGTGCCTTCCACTGGAAGTGGGATTGCAGTTCTCGCGATAAAGTGTCACGGATTCATTGAATTTTGCTATTCAATCATGAAACAGCAGTAGCTGATAAGTAATTCATCAAAGAAGAAAAAAGCAAGAAGAGTCCTCGAAGAACACCATAAACAAAATCGCTCCCTGACAGTCACACCGCCTGCGGTCTCTGTGCAACCCCTGGCTCACAAATCGAGTGTTGCCCCTGGATTGGGTGTCTGCTACTTTATTTGGGGCGTGGCCATACTGTAGTCACCAACCTTTGGAATCCTAACTATGCATTTTTGAGTGGCGGAAGTTAGAGGATTTCACGTTTTTAATATGAGGTTTTGGTACGGCATTGAATCATAGGTATGCGCTTTGAGTGACAAAGGCCTTAGCATCCAGCTCCTGATTTTGGAATGTGCTAGTATTACCATGAACCTAATGCACAAAAGAGTGGAGAACTGCCTAGGCTCAGCAAAGGAGCACTGGAGTTCTGATCCTTTCCTGAAGAATAGTTCTAACCTCATGAGAAGTAGTTCCCCCAACCTAGAGCCCTTCGCACCGCTTTCTAAGTAACTTGTGATCTTTCAGATACCAAAGGTTATCAAGAAATGACTTCATCATAGCTGTACGAGCTTTTTATATCTGAGGAGCACAGGTTCACTTTTTCACTTTAATTCCCAAGTCTCAATTCGCGAGCAGTCCAAGTTCGCCAGTCCTTCGAGCATTATTTATTTTCGAGTGTTGCTCTCCGTGCCGCTACAGCTACCATTGCTTCCTTGAGCTCAAAATATCTGAATTTCACATTGTGGCACCGAGCTCTATCGTATGTGTGTGTCCTGATATCGGTGCAACTCGAGGGGGCTGTTTCAAGAGCCCTAGCTGAGCCCGCTCGCAGCATTTTCTACCATTAGTTGTTTTCTCCCTGAGCGCTGCCGCTATTGGTAGAAAACGCAACCTCAGATTGGCTCATTCTGCGCCTACTGCCACCGGCCCATCGGATTATTTCCACATCAACTGTATGTGGTCGAATTGTACCTATTCGGTTTTTAGAACTTTTCCTGGACCAGACCAATAAAAATTTGCCGTTATTGTGACCTCAGATCCAAGGACTTAGGTAAAAATTTCACGTTATTGTGGCCTCAGATTCAAGGACTTAGCCGTTTATCAGATTACGCATCCAAGGACGATCGTTGCGATTTCCTTGCAAAGCGCATCGTTCGACACAAAATCCTGTTATGATTAGCAATTTTCGCTGCATAGAGAACAGCTAGGGCTTGAGATTTTTGCAGAGATTGGCGGAATCTGTCCCACTTTCCCTTCCACTTTCAATTTCAGGGACTATTAGTTCTGATGAAGTATTGGCTTCTACTAAACCTGATCCTTTCGACTTTCACCGTACATCTTCTGCCTACTGGAAGGACCACTTAGGTCCTTATGAACCATTCCTCAAAATGTCCCTGTGGCTAGAGTTGTGGTGCAGTTGGCTAGGCAGACCACCCTTATCACTTCATTGAGCGATTGGATGTACTGAAACCTTGTTTCAAGAAAATTACACTATTTTACACTTGCGTTCGAATTTCTCCACGTTACACCCGCCGCATAATGGTACCGGATTAAGCAGGGCGCGGGGTCGAGTAAACCAGAAGCTTGAGACAGCATGGCGAAGGAAGAAGCGCGTGAAAGGCCACACGAAAACATTGCGCGCGTATAAAAAGGAGTAGCGTGGGGAGGTGAACAGTGGCAACGTCAAGATGGACTTTGAGCACCGTGTCAAAGCCTATCGTTTCGTTGCGTACTCTACCGTTACCTTTTCAGTAGTAGCAGTCCTTACCGTCTGCGTCACATTACCCATCCTCCACAGTTATGTCCATCAAGTGAAAAGGACCATGCACAACGAGCTGATTTCTTGTGCGGTATCCGCAAAGGACATTTGGAGTGAGGTAAATCACCTCAGAAGGGCTGTTGGTGCGAACAGGACCGCTCGTCAGGTTATATCGCGTGATGCTGAAATCATTCAAGTACCTCCCAGTACCCAAACACACGAAGGATACGTTGGCGGCAACGGAGGCAATGGCGGCAACGGAGGCAATGGCGGCAACGGAGGCAATGGTGGCAACAATCGGTGCGATTCATGCTGTCTTCCCGGAGAACCCGGACCCGCAGGAACTCCCGGTCGACCTGGTCGTCCAGGAAAGCCCGGAGCACCAGGAACTCCTGGAAACCCAGGACGACCATCATTGCAGCCTTGTTACCCCGTCACTCCTCCACCATGCAGACAATGCCCACGTGGACCACCCGGTCCTCCCGGACCCCAAGGTCCTTCTGGAGACGCTGGCCGCGACGGACTCCCAGGAGCTCCAGGAAATGCTGCTCAGCCCGGACCTCCTGGACCCAAGGGATCACCAGGACCAAATGGAAACCCTGGATATCCTGGTGCACCAGGGCAGCCTGGAATTCCCGCTATTTCAACACCTCTTGTTCCTGGAGAACCTGGACCCGCTGGAAGTCCCGGCCCTCAAGGTCCACCTGGACCAAGTGGACAGCCCGGTCAGCCTGGATCCGACGGTACGTCTTAATTGCCTATTGCCTATATTTCTCTAATAGCCTTCTCACACATGTTATAAAATCGTTGATTTCCAGGCCAACCAGGACCCAAAGGAAACAGAGGAGCTGACGGACAGCCAGGCGCCGACGGGCAACCGGGTGCTCCGGGAGAGCCTGGGTCGAGTGGAGCTGCTGGCGAGCCAGGAATCTGTCCCAAGTACTGCGCCATCGATGGTGGCATATTCTTTGCAGACGGAACTCATCGTCGGTAAAGGAACAAACCATGACCTCACCACAATATTTCTTGATGCAATAAACATTTTATTAAAGGATTCTTATCACAATGTGAGCCTTCTTAACGAAACGGCTTGTTTGAGCTATAATCAGGCATCTGCGAGCTACAAAAAGGAATTTGAGTTATTATGGTAGGCCATCTGCTCAGTCGGATCACTCAGTTGAATAGTCATCCATCCACCTCCTATGAGTGGTTTCAATATGTTGAGTATGACTCTCCTTGCGAGTGGATGTGAACGAAGCGTTGTGGAAAGGAGGGGGTCGTTTCTGACCGACTGGTCAAGTAAGTGTATTTTAGAGAACAAGGAAGCGGAAGATGTACAAAGTTCCGGGAGATTCTGTACCCTAGAAACACATAGGCTTGCACAGCCGCCGCCGCAGTGCGGAAGAAGCTAACGCACTTCTAGCACCTGCACGTGGGAGTCCCAAACGTGCGGCTCACTATATGGATAATCAATCGTGAAAGGATATGAGCTCTCTCTATAAGCGCACGATAATTGATACTTAGTCCTAAATGCGACAACAGGGTGTATATGTATAGCAAGGGGTATTACGAGAACGAGGTGAAACTTTCAAAAACCTGCAAAAGAGCCCTTGGTTCTACACGGCCGAGAGAGCAATTTCGGACGAGTTTCCCCGTTGGCATCGTGCCACTAACGCTACGGTAAATACGGTTGCACGTCTATATCCAAATATCCATGCAGCACCACAGCTGCTTCTCAACAATCTTTTGCTTCATCTTTTACTTCGCGAATGAAGCGATACGAGCATCAGAATCGGTCGGACATTTGTGGGCGGGGAAACGGTGGGCGTCCGGGTCGGTATGTTGCAGCTTGATAGGGCGCTATGAGGGTACTTTCCCTGGAAAAATGTGCCGCACAGCATGTGCTCGGGGGCGCCGAATTCTGTCCTACTAGGTCTATTAATCGTACGCAATTTGGAGATCTATCGTGCCGCTTGCCTTCAAACTTGACGAGGATTTGGGTTGTTGGAGCATACATACATACGCCTTTGAACAGACTAGCTTACAGTAGAACCGTAAGAGTGGGCTCTTGGAGTAGTTCGGAATTCTCTACTACTATATCGTAAAGGAAAAGCTCTTGCCTAGTAAGCTAAGGTGAAGCGAGAGTTTTCTTTTCAGGGAAAAAACCACCTACTTAAATTCTCCCGCCTTTATTTTCCCCTCACTCTTCAGGAAAATGTTACGGCTCTCTCCCAGCAAAGCTGCTGCTGAGAAGAGAGTATAGGAGGTATATAACCCAAGTGAAACGTGAGCAACCAAAAAAGACAACAACGGGGAAAGTTTCTCTCGCGGCTCGGGAAAATTTCCGTCAGGACCAGATACGAGCTCCTTTGACCAAATACGAAAACCACGACGCTCTCCTCATTGACCAAGTACGGCCCCTTCGATGGGATTCTCCAAACGACGCTGTACCCTGCCTGGGCAGCCTGCTCCTTCGCTGGCCCTGAGATTCTTGCAGCCTATCCCTAGCAGTACCACCGAATCTTTGGTTTTCTCAGGTTCGGCGAATGAAGCAAATAGTGGTGATTGTGATGGTGATGATGACCACACACAGTTTGCCAGGCTTTGACATGGTACCTTTCCGAAGCCGCTTGAGACCGCTTCACCCCTACTTCACGATGAGGCTGCAGATAGAAGTTGTGAAGGTGTGTCAGTATAATTACCGCTCGCAGTGCTTCACGGCTCTGC